TTCCAATATCAGAACTAGAAAACAATCTAGCAAGAACCATTACGGCCACTACACTGAACCAATATCACACATAATATTTTTGGTAGCCTTCACGTGTGGCACTCTGACACTAGAAGTTGATGTGTATGTGTAACCCAGAGAGGGCTGTAGTAAAGGTGGGTAAATAAGTTAAGTGACTGGAATCTGGTACAAGTGCCATGAGAAGGAAATAACTTGGGGGCTAGGAATCTGGGCACCTGGGTTTGTAATTAGCCAGAGGCAGAACAGAAGAAAGAGGATCATGGGATGGGATGGGATGCAGAGGTTCTTTCCAGACAGGAGGGGGCCTACAAGGAAATCCCAATAGAGTTGAGGGAAAAAATGAAACTGAGTTTGGAAAAATATGTAAAGAGTTGTGAGTGCAAGCACACATATGCAGACTTAGGACCTAGCTTGCTGTAAACAAAGTCTGACATACAGAGAGGAAGCCTGGAAGAAATACTTAGGAAAAAGAAAAGAAAGTGGTTAGCTTAGCAAAGCAACCTGAGGAATAAAAAGGAAGCAGAGATTTAAAATGAGACAAAAAGACTAGCAAGGTGTGAAAGTGTGAAAAATGTTAATCATGAGTCAGGCAGCTTAAGACATAAGGTGAGAGATCTCATTCCCACTAAGTTCAATAGTTACTGTCATGTAAAATTATTCTTGTGTAGATGTATATGATTATTCTTTCATACAAATAGTAAAATAGAGTTGTTGCCAGTCTTTGGTTCTGAATTAGTAAAGAAAAGTAAAGGCGTGTTGCCTGTTTTACTAGAGGTGTCTTGGGACTTACTGGATTTAGGGGTTAGAAGAAATGCCCCTTAGAGCTTCTTGCTGGTGGGAGAGTTATCTAGTTCCTTGGTTGAAGGAACAAGAAATGAAATTGCTGAGGTCTATGGCTGGAAGTTACCCCCTTCTATACTGTGGGAAAAAACAGGGCTACCAATAGAGCTACATAAGTATACTTATTATTGTTATTATTTAAAAACTTATGCTACTAGCATTTAAATTTACCACAAACCAGAAGTCTTTACAAAACTAAATGCATGTATATTAACAGTTTTTTTCTTACCTCTATAATAAGCTTTAGTAATTGCATCAAATTCTTCTTGACCTGCTGTGTCCCATAGCATTAATCGAACATCTTCATCGTTGACCCTAAAACATAACGTATTATTATCAATACACATATTAAAAAAAGAAGGAACTTGTAACTTAAAAAAAGTATTTAACAAAAATGGGTTCCAGTAATCCTGTTTTTTAGGTAGACTTAAATTCCCACTGATATGGACTCATGTAAATCAGGATACCTCATTTTTCCAATTCTTCTACCTGCAGAAGAACTGTTTCTGAAGGATATGGCACAAAAGACTGCATTAATTAAGAGAGAAGTAGCAAAAAATTAGGTGCCCTCCCCATAAATATACTTGTAGGAGTGAGTTGAAGGCAAATCGTTTGGAGCCTAACTAACAAGCATACTGCACGAGACAAAATTGAAACTGATTTAACCTGTATCTAACTATCCCATGTCCTGTTCTTTCCCTCTGCTTTGAGAGAAAGTAAAGCTACTCTGTGGATTTAAATAAATTAGATAAAATTTTTGAAATTCCATTTATATATATTGGATTCTTCATCTTCTATACAAATCCCTGTTATTCAGTTCTAGAAATATTTATAACTCTTTTTCTCATTTACAATACTGCTGCTCCATCTTGCCACTACTGGTAAAATAGTGTTTTCCTTCTTACAGACTATAGGCATTTTTGCATTTATTGTTTAGGTTAGTAATTCTGGAACTTCTATAGTCAGGCAGCAGAATACAATTGATATAGATGTTTCATGTTCACATCTATGAAAAAAAAGCTTTTCTGAGAAACATTAGCCCAGCACTTACAAATATATTGAATTCAATTTAAACAATGAGGAAATAATAGTGCTCCCATCTGTTAGATACATACTGCATTTCTCTTTCTAAGAAATCAACTCCAATAGTCTTTTTATAGTCTTTTGTAAAAATTCCTTTGCAGTATCTCTGGATCATGCTAGACTTCCCAACTGCTCCATTTCCAACGACAACCACCTTGATAGCCACCTCCAAATCTTCTTCCAACATTTTGGCAAGTCAGAAAGTTGCAATTCGTTTCTCAATTTAGTACAGATCTCCTGAATTCTGTACCTGAAAAAAAAGGGGGGAAGAAAGTAATAATAGTTTATTTGATGTACAAGGACAAAAAATAGCAAATTTAATTTTGACTTCTAGTTCTCCCACAAGTTTACAATAAGTCTGTGGAGCCTTGATATTAAACTGAAACATCTAAAAAAAATTAAATTACCTCTGTGGTGGGTTGGGGATGAGACAAAAGTAACGTCATGAAGATATCTCCCATAGAAACAGTTACCAGATCATATTCATGCCATTGTTAGGAGAATGAAAGGAGGACCCCAAAGAAACAATTCTGTACACATATTTGAGAAAAAGCTCCACTGAACCCAATGGGTATTACTATTGAATAAACATGGATTATATTACATACAGTACTTCACTGTCTTCTCTTGTCTATTATTCTTATGCTGAATATTATATGCCTTAACTTGCCTATTACCAAGTTATCTGTGTTAACAATTTTGTACAATTTTGCCATGTGTCTAAAGCTAAGAGAATCCAAAGAACTTACTACTAGCATTCAAATATACATATCACCTTTGCATACCCCACTTTGTGTCACATTACAACACATCTATGTGCATGTATTAAAACTTTTAGTGGGACTTTTCCTCAGAAAATTCATACATAGAATGTATTGCACAACAGTGTACCAATTCTTGAATACAAAATGTACTATGTTAATTTATCTTTATTCTTTGCTATCAGTACCCCATACTTCTGCAATAACTTAGCTTGTCACAGGGAAACCAAAACTAATGCTGAATGCTTCGATTAAAAACTCCAACCTCAATGTTTATGGTATAACATTTAAAATTACCAGATGGTGCTCACAAACATGCAGCCCCACGTGTCGCTATCTCACCAGAAACCAATTTATCTTGATGTTACTAAAATGTTAACAGCAAAGTAACTCACAAACCAGCCTAGCTTTAAAGTATTGCTTTAAAATAAGGATGCAGAATCAATCCTGGTAAAATAGACAGAATACCTTATTAAATACTGTAAATGTATATGTAGCCATACTGTATATGACTGGCTAAGCAGTATAAGATATTCTCTCACTCACTCCAAATAAAGATCTTACAGGTTGAATTCAGTTACCTGAGTTTAAGTTATAACAAACAACCCTTAGCTTAATATAGGGATAGGTCACCTTTGGGTGCCCAGGGGCAACTTTTACTATTTATGAACAGAACAGGGGGTACAATGGTGGGGTATGAAGCAGGCATGTTACAGATATGAACAGGGTCAAGACTATATTTTCCTGAATTTGGGAAAGGGCGTGTTTTTTTTTTAAATATCTGAAAACAATTTGAATTCTATTTTATAGCTTACAAGTTTTGCTTATGTTCAAAACCCATGCTGTTGATTTTTTGTAATTGTAGTTGAAGGAGGCTCCAATAGCTACAAAAAGGTGTCCTCTGGGCTTTAGCAGTCCAATCCTGGACTGTTATGTAAACACGGTCCTAGTCTTTATCTTTTCCCCAAGACATTATATCAACAGTCTATACTGAATGCCTGAAATTGACTATTCCCAATGAGGATGAGCACGTATACCTTGAACTGATATGCTGAGGTAATGGAGACCAATTTCAACAGCTATAAGGTGCTGTAACTCACTACCCTCAGTAGACTGCATCAAAATGACCTCTCTAGCATTACAATTCCAATATAAATGGTAACAAAACAAAAAATTAAACTGCAAGATAAAAAGCCTGCTAGATACACTTTGGTTTGGACAACTCCTACCACAAATATTGTAACATAAATGCTTTGTTCTCTATCTTGCAATCTAATATGTGTATTTTCTTCTAGAACAGTATTGCAAAAAAAAAAAAATCAACAGAACTGAAGCAAAATAAAAATGTAAAGAATGGATTGAGCAAGAAAGATACAACAATTTAAAACAAGTGCAGCAGTTATAACATTGATAATCATTTTGCATTTTGTGCCTACATTTTACAAAAACTTGCAGGCTGTCTGCCACAGTTAAGGATTTTTCCAGGCACTCCCAAATTCTACAATAGAGCTTTTCTTAAAATATATCTACATTTACTTCAGATGTCTGTCTATATAGCCTCTCTTCTGTGGATTTATCCTCATTCCATTCACTATGATTTGTAGTCTTTTTCCTTCCCCACCCTGTGCAACATTCTTCACCTTTAATCCCATAAATCTAAGTGTGCGCTTCTGTATCATTGCTGCAACTGGAAAATAGCTCCTTCTTACATGACCCATTTTTTTTTGTCCTGGAAAATATTTATTTATTTATTTAACACACATGGGCTGTCAGATTAGACTATAGTTGGCTTACAATAAAAATTCAATGAAAACAGATTGTAAAAATATAAAAATGAAACAATGCTATGAGAAAATACCTAAAAAGCAGTTTTAGCCATCCCTTATCAATCATCTCTCAAGCAATATCATGAAACCCTTGTTCCGTGGCCTGTTCAAAAAGCTAGGCTTTCTGAAACAGAGCAGAGATGAGGCCAAACAGTCCTTTGGGGGAATGGTATTCCAGAGGAAGGAGCAGCAATAGAGAAGGCACCCCCCCCCCCACAAGATGGCATAGTTTAACTGAAGGGATCTGAAACATGCCACTCTGTTAGATCTTATATGACCAACAGAGACGATTCATAGATAACCAGAACCCAAGCCATGCATGACTTTGCAGATGACAATCAGCATCTTGAATAGCTCCCAGAAATCCACTAATCAGTGCAGCTCATGGAGCAGAAGTAACATGGATGTACTGAGATGCTTCCATTACCACTCACACAGTGGCATTCTGGACCTTGCTGAAGGTCCAAGTGGTCTTCGTCTGCTGCATCAACTGCATCCTTTCCTAGATCAGGAAGCTGATCATAGTCACTAATGCCCTAGTCACCTCGCAACTTGACTATTCAATGTCTCTACATGGGGCTGCCCTTGAAGACCAATTGGAAGCTTCAACTGGTTCAGAATGCAGTGGCATGGGCAGTGATGGGCATGTCTCAGTATGCCCATGTGACACCTTTTCTCTGCAAGCTGCACTGGTTACCAGTTTGCTTCCAGATGTGATTCAAGGTGCAAGTTATGACCTATAAAACACTGCATAGGGCCTGGTTATTTGAGGGACAGTGTACCACCGTGATGTCTGACTGGCTAATATGAACCAGTGGGGTTGATATATTTCAGGTCCCTTCAGTTAAATAGTGTTATCTCTTGGGAGCCAGGAGGTGTGCCTTCTATCACAATGTCTACTCTCTGGAATGAGATCCCAGGGACTCCCATCCTGAAAAAATTCTGAGGAGTCTTAAAAACCTGGCTGTTCTCCCAGGCTTTGGGCTAGGGTAGCTGGAGCCCCTTTTGAGTTTTGTTGATATATTAGTATGTTGTTGGCTGAATTTGCCATCTTGTTCTTTATTTTGGCCTTATCCTATTTTTTTGTTGCTGGCTTTGTATTGTATTGTATTTTATTCTCTTTGATAAATTTTGAACAGCTTAGAGTCATTCTAGAGTCATGTGGCACCTAAATCGAATAAATTTAAGACTTCCCCATGTACAGCACATTATGGTAATCCAAGTGAGAGGAAACTAAGGCAAGAGTGACCATGACCAGGAAATGGATTTGTGCAAAAGTGCTCTTGGCCACAGCTACCTCTTGCCCTTCCAGCAAGAGCCAGGAGTCCAGAAGGACCCCCCAACTGTGCATCAATTCTATCTGAGAAATGCAACCCCACTGAGATATGGAGTCTGCCAAGCAGAACATATTTTTCAGGATTCAGCACACTTCAAAGAGTCTTGTAAGTTTTATTTGCATTGAATTAGTACCTGAGAAACACTGGGCCAATTAGTTCTATGTTGGTAACTGCTATAGTAGAAGATACATGTAATACAATGTATATGGCTATACCATGATAGCCTCCTCCAAGAAATACCTTTATCGTAGCAAAGTTTATATATCATGCTGTGGTAGAGAACTGTAGAAATAAATAATTATCTCACCACTTACAAACATAGAAGATAAATGGTGAACCATTTTGTAAATTTCAGATTGCCTCTAAATCTGCAAATAAACCCTTATTACGCTTATATGTATGTGTGTAGTAAACCATACCTCTGAACACAGAGAACACAATCCCTACCATGTCACATGTATATATTTGTCTCATCATATGGCAACAACCTTCTCCAGCCTGTTGAGATGTCTTGGACTAACAGTTCCCATGACTCAAAATCCAGCACATTTGGAAGCCACAAAACAGGGAAAGGTCATTTACTATGATAATATGATAATAGTAAACTATACAACATCCCCCAAATGCTTTTTTTCAATAAAGCATTCTCTCCCAAAAATTTCAGCAATGCAGAAGATCAAAACTCAAGCCTGATTAAAAACATAGCACAGGAATATTGATGACAGTGAGAAGAACACTGAGACTCAAGTCCATCCCGGGCCATAGAATCTGAGGGGGTGACTTCGGACCAGTCTCAGCCCAGAGTTCGTTCTTGTATGGATAAAATGAAAGGAGTTCTTTAAGTATGCTCCTGTGGAAAGGGCGGGATTAAATCTAAGAAACACATAAACCAATGCACCGGAGCATGTACTAAGCGCAACTACTGTATCTTCAATTAGGAGCCAAGGAATTGGCAAGCCAGCGGAACCTTCCTCTTTTAGGGACCAAAGCCTAGGAAAAATCTGCTGCCATGGGTGTTGCACAAAAGGGAAAGCGGGCACGGAGAAATCCGAGGAACCCAGTTTCTATCCAGCGCCAGCGATGTCCGCCCTATCCGCAGCTTCACAACCCGCCCCCGGGGCTCAGCATCTTCGCGGCGTCCAGCCTACCACCACGTATAAACTCTCATAGGCTTGTGTGTAGCACCACGTATCTCGGCTTGCCCGCGCAGGCCGATCCCCGCACGCCCTGCCATCCCCACCCTGCTCCCGCCTCACGACGAGGACCCAGGAGAGCCTCCCCGCGAGCCCAGCCAGGCTGCAGCCTCCCGATCCCAGACGCGGCGCCCACGAACCAGGAGAGTCCGCTGCCGGCTCCTTGCGGGGGCAACGCGCGGAGGAAGAAAGGGCGCCTCCGCGGCGACGGGCAGCCAGCAGGGG